GCCTTTAAAAATAGAGTATACCCGCCTTAGTAGAAATATATTATATTATTATTAATATTAACTTTGAACAAACAAATATTGGTGGTTTGAAATTATCATTCCCGTTTTGTTCGATTGTCAGGCAGTAACTGTCTATTCATTGTAGGCTAAACATCAACGCCTTTTGTGCAGCGCAGTAGAGCAAATGATGAATATTCAAGCAATTATAGACACAAGAGCAGATTTAGGTCAAAATATGATCGTCACAGTAAATAGAATAGTGCAGAAGTTTTATACATTAATAGACCATCAAGAACTGAGGTGAAACCAATGGTAGGGCACCAAAACATATATGGAAACACAATAAAGTTATAGTAACCAAGCAATTAGGAAATCGCATGAGTTTGACGCTGATATTGTTTCAAATTTCTTATCCAAGTGAGCTCGGATCACATGACGACCTGGAGAACCTCTGCACATGGTCGCTTTCAGGCTCAATAAATACGAGACTACCGGTAGTTGAGAAGCGTACTGCTAGGTTCAAATGAAGACGAATCAGTATATTTGCCCTGTAGAGGTAAATAAAATTGGGGTGGTGAATAGACAACCGAACTCCATGTACGGCGAGATATGCTTATCTTAACATGGGCTTACACCGTCCACCGGACTTTCGTTATTATAGATATTTCTATGCCAATCATTGGAATAGACCTCCTGCATCATCATACTCTGCTCATCAATACGTACAAACGGAGGTTAGTAGATGGAAATGTTGAATTTCTGCCTCTATAACTTTACTTTCAGATGAGAGATTATCCCCAGTCACGGGTAGGTATATAGTCGAACCATACTATCAACGGATACTCGACAAGTACTCTGAACTCTATCACACGAGACCGAAATTAACACATGTAAACAGCAACGTTGCATAATGAATCACTATTAGAGGGCCACCCGCACCTTACGAAGGGCACCAACTAGCTCCCGGAAAACTAAGTTTGGGGAAAGAACTGAATTCGACCACGTGATAGATTTCGGAGCTATTCCGCCATCAAACAGTTTATACGCTCCTCCCTTGCACACGACCTCCAAAAAGAACAGTGATGATTAGCGCTCAAATGGTGATTATCTGTGACCAAATATGAAAATCAATCGTTATCTGTTGCCGAATATTCACGATTTGAGAGCTACCTTTAAAGGTACGACGGTTTTTTTGAAAAAATTGATCTGGTCGAATCATATAATCATATTCCCATGGCTGCGGGCGACATACCTAAAACAATTATCATTACGCTTTCTGGTCTCCACGGATTTTTAGGCATGCATTTTTGTTCGAGAAATGCCGCACAAACTTTCCGGAGATACATCAATGAAGTCTTCCAAGGTTTCAACTTCATGCAGACATGTGCGGATGTGTAGCATTATGATCTGCGTAGTTGTTTGTACTGCCCCAATAATAGACCTCATCCTACAATTGTAGATTTTTCATGATGTGACTGCTTAATCTATAAGATCCTACGCGGATAAAATGGGTAAAATAGATGTCACACGATAGCGACCATACCTGCAAGGTTAAGTCATGCCATCCGATGGATTAAATTTCAAATGAATGTTCATGTGTTCACCATTACTGACCTTTCTTAGGCGTTACATGTCGAAAGTTTAGTTTCCCAGTTATCTCATGCTCAGCTTTGATGATTGTGGTTAGAACCAGTACCACAACACCACTCTCCCACCAAAACCAAAGTGACGTTGGTTTGATACCATATCGAGTGAGATTGTTGCACTCCGGAGGTTACCAAAAGAATAATAAGGAGTACTCCGGGTGTTGATAAGCTGAAAGATAAATTAAAAAGAAAGCTGCAGCTACTGATCGGGAAATATATATATTAACCTTAAAATGCTCAACATACTTAGCATAAAAACGCACATGAACATTATTTATAACATTGAAGAACGATTTATACAGGGATATTTTAACAAGTCACATTGAAATACATTGATAAACAAGGAAGAAATATCAGAAGTTGCTAATTTTTCATCCTCTTCTTTAACGATGGTATTTAAAATGTCTTTGAATACCACAGAGTTTTTAATTCCATGACTAATCAGTTTTTCATACGGTTTAAGTATCCTATCTAAGTAATTCGCTAGTTTGTATGTAGGTAAATTTGTAAAATCAACCACTGGTGATAAGGAAACTTGAGAACAAGTCTGCGCTAGAAACAGGACACAGAAATAAACTGGATGAGGCCAAGTATTCATGAACGTTTGACGGCCCTGTAAGTTTCTATCGACGGTTCATACCGAATTGTGAGTCTCTCTCTCTTAACGGACCAGCTTCGTGGAAATGCGAAAATCATCAATTCAGACGACTATGCGAATGCAGCAATCTCCACAGTTGAGGAAATTATCGCTAAAACAACGATACTCACACACCAGGACGTCTAATTACCCTTTAGTACCGAGTAGACTCAGCAATCGAGGGAGTCCTATAACAATGGGTGAATATCAGCATGATAGTGCTGAAACATCATCTATGCAATGTCTTCAAAACATTGCTAAAAACTTTTCATCCAGGTGTTCGCGCAAACATCAGGCTCACAGCAGAATTGTTCGTCTGGCCTGAAATGAATGAAAACGTGAGGGAGTAGGCACGCTCCTGTGTAAGCTGCCACAAATCTAAGGTCATTAGACACAACAAGTATCCCGTAGTCTCATTCAAAAAATTTTGGAGTTCGTTTCAGTTATACCCATCTGGATTCGGTAGGATACTTACCATATTCAAATTGATAATCTTACCTCTTAACGTGTATGGACTGTTTCAATGAACGACCAGAAGCAGTAGTCACGAAGAAAATTACTGCCGAGACGATGACTAGCCCCTCCGTCGAACGATTGTTGGCAAACTTCGAATCCACTTCAAATATCACTAAAGACCGAGGAAGCCAGTTCGGATCTATAATTTTGCGCTGTCTGATCACACTACTAAGAATCACACGAATCCAGAAGACGGCCTACCACGCGCAGGCGAATGTGTAGAACGATTTCACCGTGTACTTTAATGCCACATCATCGATAAAAACGTAGTTAACGGCAATGCCGACAATGATGATCCTAAAGCGGCCTATTTAGAAAGAAACGCTAATAATGTTGATTTTCCTCATGTATACTCCAACGATGCTAGCCTCATAAATATGAAACCACGCCCGATGATCAACAATCTAGACTGAAATTGTCAGATATCTGCGAATCAGCTCAAAATAACGCCCTCTGGAGGAAGGGTAAGGTTTTTAGGCACCTGAATAATTACTGAGCATAGGATACTGTAGACCACATTGTTTTATCTAGATCCTTTAGTACTGTTGTGTCGAAAGACCACGAAGAAACAGTTTTTATAAATGCTAGTGTATGTATGTGAATTTCTTCTTACAATGATCTGAAAAACAATTGTTGTGCAAAAATTACTTTTACGCTATCGCAAGTTATCAGTATGCATACATAGCATTTTTCCCCGACCGTTTTCTGTCCTTACGCTTTAATGCGCACTTAAAATCGTATTCTTCTAGAACGTCCACAAAAAAATGAAAAAGCGGACCACGATCACGACGCATGGAAATTTTCACTGTACATTTTTTGCATTGTCATGTTGTACTACAAGGCTAATTATACTAGTGAAAGACTACTAGGTACTGCTGAATTTAACGAGTCATCAGAATTGTGTTAACTAACGACAGGTCCGTTGGGTTGAAACTTCTGGCAGGCTACGTCTTAAGGGTCACCAATACAACAATAGGGGGGAATGAGCAGTGGAGGTAAATAAATCCCCTGTAAGTCTTTGTCATTGATTCTGATCTCATTCGTTTCACCGAAAACTCCATTGAAAGCTCTCAGTCACGCATCTGAGTTTCCGACCCTTTGTGGAAAATATGTTGTTAATCATAAATTGATGAGTTCCAGTAAATTTTGACTTTGAAGCTTTGTGTACTTAGCGAGATTTGTGTCGTTTGTGAAAAGCAGGGATTATAGTTGCTTTGATAAGCTTGGTTCATTAACAGTAGCAACAAAACAGGAGCTCATAAAATGAACTGAGTAGAAACTCTTTTGAAGAGGTTGAGGACACACGGCAGCACGCTGAGAAAAAATGAAGAAAAATACCTGAAGCACATCTATCAAAAAAATGGCTACCCAATCAACTTCATCAAAAAATACCAGCCAAACGCATCAAACGAAGTAAAGTACAGAACCCAACAAACGGATCATCCTACCATGTATTAAAGGCATGTCAGAAAGTAAAACGAGATTGGTAAAGTCTCGCGGAATAGGTATAGCACACAAAACAACAAAATCACTGCAATCAATCCCATGCAAACAAAAGGGTGAAGTGACAAAAGAAGGAAAACCGAACATCATCTACAAAATAAATTGTTCCAAATGAGAAAAAACAATATATCGGACAAAGCAGACGCCCTGTTCATCTTAGTCTGAATGAACCTCGATCTGCGATCAAACGCTATAACATATGCACACTTATATCAATCCATGTGGACAACTGTATGCACACATTCGACTAGAACAATATTGAGGTCTTGGATAGAGACAATTCTAAAAAGGCTAGAAATTTTTTAGAAGCTTGGCATTCAGGTCAATCAGCAATAAACGAGCACATTGAAATCAACCCAATTTATCAACCAATGAGAAAAATTATGAACAAATATAAGGCCGAAATTAAGGTCGACAATAACCAATCAACATCGAGATCTATAGGACAATCTGTGAGCCATATGTGGAGAAATTCGAACACCTTATTTCTACCCGAAGTTTGTACTGATGATGTCGTTCAGAAGAACGATGGAAGCTCCATGATCGAACCATTCAGCCTAGAGAACAAAACTCCATCAAACACATTCAGTAGTGTTTTTTTATATTGTCCTATGGCATCTAGACACATATTGCATTTCTTAATATGCCACTTATCATGATCTGTTAAATATTCTGAAACATTCACCAGTGAAACAGTAATTTCTTCAACATCGAACAGGGATTTCGACCTTCAGAACAGGCGTAGCGTCCTTCATCTGCAGCTTAGTTTTGGGGTTTAGGTAGCACTTACCGAGATCGTCATTTACAAACATCATATGTTATCTTCACCATTAGGATTTAATGTTCAACGAAATGTAAAGATAAAATCAGTTTACCAGGTTATTGGTATCTTGGTTGGAGTATGCTTCAATATATTTTATATCACAGTTAGAGATGTGGAAACTGCAGTTTGTTGCTCATTTTCAAGTGGGTCCTATCGTTTTTATTTCCAGTTCTGTTTGGGTCTGTTGGATTATATGTTGACATCCAGTTACTTAGAGGACACTGGAGAGTGTGGCCATATATCCTTCGACGGTACATGTTGCTGGGTATAGTTGGGTCAGTTCTCTCTTCAGTAGCGCTTGTGGGGAATTTATACAATGAAATAAAATACCACCGTAAGTTAGCTGTTAGACTAACACCTCTTAGAAATGTCATCCTTTCGGTCAGATTTATGGTCGTTGTCCTCCCTACACTGGTCTGCTATCCTGGCATGGACATCTAGGAAGTACCATGTCCTGCTAACAGATGTTTATACGCTATCAAAAGGCCATAGCTAGTGACTAAACGGCTCGCTTCAGTGTGAAATAACTACCTTATTAAAACTACTGGAACTATATGTATACATATAGTCAGATTTTATCATATATATGTATATATAATGAAATTTGACCTTTGAGATCACTAAAGTATTTTGCTTTGTATGGACGTTTTATTGTTTCAACACATATTACCTGCCTTAACCTCATATACTTACTTTTAACTTTTGTACCTAGTAAAAAGTAAAAAATTAAGACTCTTAATCTTGTCGTGATTTTTTCCAATACACGGCAAATTTAAGTAAAAATAGAACGCCGATTAGCTTGGAGACCTGATTACACGTTAGAGGTATCAGTGAAAGACAATACGTGTAGTAGTGTGTTTCAGTGGTTTGGTATTCTGCGGAATGCAAACTTCTAGACTTTAACGCTACGCTCTCCTCTTTTCAACTTCCTCGACATATCCTTTTAGGTGGTGAAGTGAATGGTAAATACTGATACTGATCAACATGCATACATCTGATATCCGACCCTCTCAACCGGTGATGTCTTACTGGTTCTTTTTCATTTGCGTCTGTTTGAGCAAGAATGTAACACTCACCAAAAGTGTTTATCTGTTTCTAAAATGTCTCACTGGTTCTTTGGTCCAAATTATCCTTATGATCAGTTTGGGCTACATCATTTAGCGATCGTCCGCTATTCTATGGAAACCAAGTCCGCTTTGAGGTGTTAACTCGGATGACGCAGACTTGCACTAGATCCTACTTTAACCATGATTGACTAAAAGGATTAATATTAGTTCTGGCGAATGTTAGCCGGTATTCATCTTTGTCAGCTCCCAGTTTCTCTTTCAAGTCTGAAAATCTCAATCTTCCCTCAACCTTAAATTCGCTTATCATACACTTCAATAAAACCCTTTTTCGCAAGGGGAACGAGAAAACATTTAAGATAGTTGCATCAGTTGCTTATCAGCTAAAGCTTCCAGCCAGTAAGCAATAAACTAGTCTTGTTTTGTCAATTTCGACGTGAAAGAAGTTTAGTATAAAAATCTGGCTGGAATACTATATAAGACATGAAAGTGGTTCAGCTCTACGTACAAGTTATTAATAGGTTTTCATTGAGTCGAAAGTTCAGGTTAGAAAGTATTGAGGATCTCTACATCCTGAGGATATATTGCGAATAGTGTCGTATGAATCGTAAGGTCTTCTGCATATAGTTGTCTTGGTGCTTTATTAGCTGAGGAAACTAAGCGCCACAACTAACACCATTTTTCAGTTTCCTATCTTGCTTGTTGTCATAGGCATTTCTTACTACGATTAATAGTAAAAATACAGACTATCTGATCACTAATAGAAATACTAGCATTTAAAATTCAAAGTGTGAGCACTCGTATCATGGTTGCCATACCTAGTTAAATCAGTGAGAAATTGGTTAGAAGTTTTTTTCCATAAAAGATCAAGTCTAGAAGGATAGCTGTCAGGTCTGTTTCAAGCGCAGTTGGTGGCGTGTCATTTCTCTACACCAGCTCTTCTCACTCAATCCTAAAAATAGGGAAATGTCAACATCCACTGGTGTAAAAAGCCAGACTTGAAAAGTATGGTTCGAAAGAAAGAAATGAGGTTGAATTTAAACGTAAGATTTAGGGGAAGACAAAGTATGAAGTCAACTGTAAACAGCTTTAGGCCATATTACCAAAATAGTTATCCTATAGATCCCATTCATTTTATTTATTTATTTAAACACATAAATATTGGTACAATGAAGCACCAGATAAATATGCGCCTCACAAATCTCATTCGATTTGTGTGAGGGCTGTGATACTGCCCAGGTGCCCAGACTGAAGCAGGTGGTTTTCTTAGGGGGCCACACCCGGAGCCTTTGACTTGAAGGTCTAGTCCACAAGGCAGTGGAGGATCGTAAGGAGATGCAGTCCTATGGTAGCCGTTGACCAACAATAGGTTCATTCGCCATTCGTTCCATCAGGATACTGGAGCCCATGTGCACCATTGGTTTGGAATCAGGGTTTGCCAACTCCCCTAGGTGGATCCTCCACATCCACCAACCCGGTTAAAGCGCCAGACATTCACTTTTCGTTCTCTCACTTTTGTGAAAAACACCCCCGCCACGAGAAGGCAGTGAGTAGGACTTCCCTGGCAGAGGCTATATATTCGCTGGCCATATGAGAGCATTTCGAGAGGGAGAGCAGACTCTCCCCACTCTCGGCTGTACCAGGGCATTTGAGGGCTCTGTTTGACAACATCCTGTTGAAGACTTTTTCTGGTATGTAGAGAAGAGTGATGCCCCTGTATTTATAACACTTGCTAAGATCGTCTTTCTTTAGTATCTTGAACAGGTGTCCTTCTTTCCAGTCTGTTGGTACTTGTTCTTCATCCCGAATCTTACTGAAAAGAATTTTGAGTATCTTTGCAGTTGCCGCTACTTCTGCTTTCAGTGCCTCTGCTGGAATGTTGTCTGATCCCACTGCTTTGCCGCTCTTGATTTGTCTGACGGCCGTGCTCATCTCTCCAATTGTGGTGGGCCAACATTGATCGGCAGGTCCGTGTGTGTTATTTCGATGTTGGGTGGGTTGAGTGAAGCCGATCAATTCAAGAGTTCTTTGAAGTGTTCTAACCACCTGTTTCTTTGTTCTTTAATGTTGGTCATTACCTTACATTCCTTGCTTTTCACCGGTCTTTCTGGTTTACGGTAATTTCCAGCGAGGTTCTTTGTTATATCATACAGTTGTCTCATGTAGCCTTTTCCGCCGTCATTGCTAAATCATCCACATATTTACGTTTGTCGTTTCTGATGCTCCCCTTTCACTTGCTTGTTTACGTCTGTGTATTCAGCTTGTGCCTTGGCTTTTTCTGCTCTTGTTCGGCTTGATCGTTGCCTTCTTGTTCCTCGTTTCTTCAATCTTATCCAGTGTATCGACAGTAATTCATTCCTTGTGATGGTGCTTCTTGTGGCCCAGAACCTCATGACATGTTGAGGTGATTGTCTCCTTGATCCCTTTCTAGTTGCTCTCCATGGTAGTTCCCTTTCCATTGAGCAGATCATGAAAATCCTGAAACTTGTTGTTGAGAGTTATCTTGAATTTGTTGAGTTTGTCAGTATCCCGAAGAAAAGCCGCATTAAACTTTTGTGATGTTGTCCAGTACTTCTTTAGTTTTAATTTCATCTTGGTGACCAACAAGTGGTGATCTGATGCTATGTCAGCTCCTCTCCTGGTTGTTACATCGTCCTCCTGGACTTTTTGTTGATGCAGATATGGTCGATTTGCTCCTGTATAGTGTGATCTGGTCAAGTCCATGTGGCCTTGTGTAGGCCTATGACAAGTTTGTTGAAGGAACATAGATTTGCAAATCTCTCACCATTCTCGTTCCTTTCTCCTAGTCTATGTAGTCCCATGATGTCTTCGTATCCGGTGTTATCATTTTCAAACTTGGCATTTAGGTCTCCCATCAGATTGGTCAAGTCCTTTGTTGGGCATTTCTCAACGATTGACTGCAGCCTATCATAGAATTGATCTATAACGTCTTCATTGTAATTCCCTCTCTCTTTGTTTTGAGGGAGGCTTTGATGATTCTTAACCCATGGGATTCCTATCCTATAAAGTGCTTTTTGTGCTTGTTTGGATAGCATCAGTACAACGTATTGTGTTTGTGGAGAATTTTCTTCTTAGTGGCCGGCGTATAATAGAAGCTAAAGATAGGTTTTGTTGTTCAACCTGTGTCCAATGTGTTTCACTGATTCCAAGCACCTCCAGGTTGTATCACCTCATATCTGCAGCGATTTGCAAGATTCACATTGTACGAGAATTCCTGGTAGCTAAATAAATGGTTATTCTGGTTGTCAGAAGCGACATCGGCCTCGTGAATTCCGAAGGAACTCGTCTTTCACCATGAAGCGTCATAACTCTTCCAAATAAATACTTTCTGACTCCCAGGGCAGAGTTTAAGTAATTCTTTATGGTTAGTGTAATGTTAGTGAGTTAGTCTTCTATGGAATAACGTCGTTAACCCCATGCCCGAACCTCCTCCTTTATCCAGGCTTGGGACCGGCAGTATCCCCCGTGGGGGCCACAGGCGGAGTCGTTTACATACGTAGGGCCAAAAAATTGACCAAGACAGATTAATACATGAAGAATGATTAAATTGACGTCCATTAATAATAAGTCTAGTTTTTATCCAGTTATTAAGCACTCAACACATACGAAGCACGAGTACGAATAATTTTTCACAATTATTTACTCAAATTTATTATTTTGAAATTTGAACTTGGTTCCCATTATCCAAATAGCTACCGGACGGAAAAAAATCCGCAATGAGTTTCTACGTTTTTGTTGATAGCAATTTAAAGCTTGCAACCATCCTTTCATGATTATATAATATGCCCTCGTGAGCCAGAGTAATTTTGCATTGGCTTTCAAAAATTGAAAGGACAAAAAGAGAATGTCCGGCACTTTAATCGAGTCGGTGGACATGGAGATTCCATATAGGGGAGTTGGAAAACCATGATTCCAAACGAATAGTACACTTGGGCTCCAGGATCATGAAAGAACAAATGGCGTATGAACTAATTGTTGGGACTGCATCTGTTTACGTTGCCCCACTGCCTTGCGGATTAAACCTTTAGGTCAAAGGCTCGGGGAGTGGCCCCATAAAGAAAACCACCTGCTTCGATTTGGGCACCAGGGCAGTTTTTCAGCTCTCACACAAATTAAATGATCTTTGTGGCGCATATCCATTTGGTGCCTTCTTGTACCAATGTTTATGTGTTAAAATAAATAAATTCATGATTATCTGACTCAAGTTAACATCGAAGACTTTGTCCCTTACTTTCAATGAGTGTACACCAAAGTGTATTTGAGGTTGAAGTAGTGTTACATCTACTGAATGCCAGTAAGATATGCGTCAGGCAGGTTATATGGACGCGCGGTCAAGCAGTAATGTAGCACCAATACGTTGCTTCAAAATTCTAGGAAAGGTAAAACGGACTGCTTCCTCCCTGAACTCCAATACTGTTTTCCACTGGAATGCATATCTAGTTTTAAAAGGATGTTAAAAGACAAAGCCCCGTGAAGGAGAATAAAATGTTAAATCTAGCTTTAAATAAAGTGAAAAATCGGTCTGAGTGTTTACCATGATGCAAAAGCACTCATTGATAAAAAAAGAAAACAACAGTATACAATCAAAGTCGCGGTTACAGATTCATGAAGACGGATACTATTTCAGGAGCTAGATAAATGCGGAAGAGTATATTAAACAATCACAGCAACGGTCACCTGTTTCAACGGGATACATAGAGCAAATAAAAGCTATTTTTTGTAGTTGTTCTTTATGAAAACAAATACAGTTACATCATTATGATATCGTTGTTGAAATATATATGTATATGGAAATTTAATACTTAGTAAATAAAAAAAGGAACGAATCGAGCGAAGAATATATATATGTCAAAACGGGAATTTTCACTATAATAAAGTAAATGTTCTACTTTTATCCAGAAAAAAGTAATAGCTTTTTACGTTATGAAAGTTAAAATAGAAAAGTTATCAAAATTATCTTCGACAGAATATAGAAAGAAGCAGGACTTGAAGAAAGTCAATTAACTAAGGTAAGTCACCAGAATCATCTATAAAAGACAAATGTAAGGTAATTATAACGTCAATCTATTTTTTCCTAATGTAAGAGCAGAGTAATAAAAAATAAAGTACTCGAAATGTAACAAACAAATAAACGAAGGATCAGTATGGCTTACAGTATAAATTTAAGTACAATTGCTTGCTTATTGAATTATCTTCACTATTTACAAGCTTAAATGTTTGTAAATGTAGCATTAAATTCTGAAGCGTCTGAGTACTTGTATATGTTGGTGAATTCTAATGCCTGTTGAATACTCCAAATAGCCAGTGCCCGCATGTATCCAGGACAACGAAAACGACCATCAGACATGTATGCTTCAGGTGTCTGGTATTGTAATCCGTAAAGATTGTAGATAGTGTTGTAGCATTTTTCGCCGAGAGCCAACCCCTCGTCAATCATTCCCTAACAGAAAAAAAGTAAAATAATTATTAGAAAATTTTAGACTGACTTCATGTAAAGGTGATAAAAAGTCTGCTTTTCTTGACATAACTTCAAGACTGTCGGACTGAGCGGTGTTGGTAGATGAACATTTCCGGGAGTAGAGTGTGATCTGTAGTTGTATATACTAGGTTATATGGGCTTAAATTAGTCGCAGATACATTCGTTTTTTATCTTTCTCTAAACGTTGCACGTCATATCATTCGATGTTCAACATTCTCCTATCCTATACGTTCCTTTTAGACTATATTACTGTTTTTTACTTGGATTCTATTGAAGTACAGCTCATTTAACAAGCACATAAATTTTACCACGTATTTCGCTATGTAAGGGGCTAGTGATACTAATTAATCGCTCAAATCACTATAGCTGGATTAGGGTTCAAATATGCCACCTACTGGCTGAAAAATAAGCGTTTTAACTATATCGCTAGCATTCTAAAACTACGTGAAATTATATTATCGATATTACAATATGGCGAGTTGGATACTGTTTACATGTAGATAAGCATCAAAGGTATGTGATTAATGCATTTAATTGGTTAAAATGCATCTGAAATATTGAATTTGTCTAACCAACAATACTGAATAAACTGAAGGCTTTAGTTTTTTATATTGCTTACAAACATCCCCCGCAGTGTTACAGTGCAAAATTATTATCACTGTATACAAAGGCGGCAATTATTGCGAATGCTCCTGTAATAAGATATACTTGTAATTAATCTTCGAAAATAGCTATCCAAAATCGACTTTTAAACACTATCCTGACGACAGATTAGCAAGTCAACTAGTGGAAAAATAACTTCGTCATTAATACTACAGTATTCATTGTAAAAAAAGTATAATATGCACGTAAATATGTTCAAATACAAAGAAAGGTGGATAAGTAGCAAAATAAAATAGATCAGTGTTTTTACTTATTTAGTGATAGATTTGTATAAGGAAGTTAACTTTTTCTATGTTATAAGATGACGGAATGTCCACTAAGTAGAATCAATTGTGAATTTTGACTGTTATATTCGAACAATACGTTAATGAAATTTAGGAGTCAAATGATGAAATTGTGTGGTACACATATGAAGATCAGAGATCTTATTCAACTGACTAATCAAGGTAGGAAATAGCGTGACTTATACATTAAGGGTTTCGCATAAGTTTGATGTGAACTAAAGGTGATGGATATTCTTCAAAACACCGGATTGTATACAACTAAATATATTAAATATTAACAAGGAAATAAATCTTGACAATTAAATAACAAAATCGTTCCATACCTCGGCTATCATAAGAGAAGAAAGTGAGTAGTTTACAGCGACCCAAAATTCTTCTGCTTGAACACTACTAAGGTCAGGTTTACAGACTGGAAGACAACCGTTAATTGCACCTATAGTGCCATTTTTTATGCCATGCCAATTGCAATTCGAAATTGTCTGTAGGGTTTTCACTACATGATTTTTGGGTAAAATCTGGAGAATAAAGAACATGAATTATTTCGACGGAGCATTCGAGCTTTTACTAATGATATTTATTGTACAAAGCCCAAATGGAATAAAAAATAGCCTACAGCAGAGTCATGTGTCAAAAAATATGGCCATGCGTGAAATAAAATTCATAGTATCGACTCAGCTCATTTTCTAAACAGTTTAACAAAAACTTGGATTAGGATTTTAGTTATGTTCTTCAAGCTAAGAAATAAAATATGTAAAAACAACGCTATATCTTAACTGTTTTATTTGACTTATTCTTTGAAGTAACCTGATGATTTATAACAATGTTCGTATTTGGTCGAATTCACATAAGGACATATGCAAAAGAGTTTAAAAAATTATTAACCGGCTTTTGTAACGTTAGTGAGTCTTTGGCTGGGGCGTTGTCCACGTGGGATGTTGCATCTTCCTCCTGTATATTCACTTTGTAGATCTTGTAAGTGATTTGCTTCCTGACCTGAATGGTTTGATTTTGAAACCCTCATTTTCCTTTCAAACATCATCAGTACAAACTCCAAAAGGAGGAGAGCTATTAAACCTTTTTCACAATTGACCAACAGCTTATTTTGTTGATCTGGAATTTCGTTAGTTCTTGCCTATAAATATATGCTCATTGTTTGTATGTGCACATGGATGGTTTTCACCTCTAACTTAGTCTGTGGTTTTACAGTTGTTAGTCGTTTATCTTTTGACTAAACCACCCAGTTCAAAGGACGAAACGCATCCGAAATTCTCATTCTGAGTTACAAATGTTCTGTATCACTTTGTACACCATATCATAAATGATTTCCATAAAACCGAATTCCTGTAACACTAGATTTTATGCACAGATCGGAAGCATCAAAAACATCTAAATACACGAAAGCAAACGGTCATCACGAAATAAATGGACAGTTTGTACGACAAGGACTCGATTCGATTTAAAGTTCACTGCCCTTTATGAATGGCTTGGTTCCCATTAACTGAGATTTAATAGTCCTAATTTAACCTAGTCATGATGAGATTTAATGCTTCTCAAATGCATGCTGAGACGATGACAGATAATCTTTAGAAATGTGATTGTATTTTGTTGAACCTCACTGATTGTCGAATGACGTTCCATTTGATTTCAATCAAATATTTCCGTCATGTCGAACAGTTTTCTCCCACTTATAACCAGACGGGGTTTGTATACATGACAAATCAATGTGATTTCTCAAACAAGTGACGGTTAATTTTACTTCCCGAAACATACCAAGTTCGGTGGCACTCCAGTAATACGGGAAAACCAATATCCGCTTAACTGATCGGCCATAATAACTTCACGTCTAGGAGTACAGTATGATTGGAAAGCGTAATACGAACCTTAAGAGTAAAAAGAGAAAAGATTGAAACTCTTAAACTGAGAATAAATACTTTAACAAATTTACCAATGAAACGGTATCCATTGATTAGCTCTATTTATTGATCACCGATATCAACTGGACCTTTAGTAGTAGAAGAAAAACCAGACTTTATGAACTACTATGAGCCAAGAATCTAGACTTTGTTATCTATTAGTAACTGTACATCTAGTAGCATTTTTGAGACAAGTTAAAGAGAGCACACAGCAATGACGTAGATATGCTATTCGAAGAAATGCTCTAGAACTTACATAATAAAGACCATGTCGTCTTAATGTCGATAACGCATGGTCACTCAGTCGATTTGTAACTAGGAGAAGCACATATTGCTGTATTTTGCAGCAAGTAAACAGACAGTAGTCTTACTAAAACAATAGGAACCTATGTGAACTTACCATAAATAGTGTGACGAATTGGTCCATCTTATTTCATAAGGAGATTTTGTACATAAGACTGATTACTGTAAAACAAAGGCATACCAAAGTTAAAGTGCCTCAATATGAGTATTAGGAATTGACCATCGTATAAGCTGAAGATAATCAAAGTTTATTTGTTTGATCAGAAACAGTATTTACTGTCACTCAACAATGACTTCCATAAGCTTCATGACACTGAAAATCACTGAGACCAAACGTTTTGACAGTTTATGCAACAAAAATGAGATTAAAGGTAGTTCTGTCAGATCAGTCTTTTTTAGTACACCAAAAATGCGTGGGAACTCATATTACATAGAGGCTATATACTGTAATCAAAAGCCAGCTTTTGAACTCATTGAAACCCACAATAATACACAGAGCGATATTGATAGAGTCTTTTCTCATTTACTCGTGTAATATTGCTTTGATGTTTAAAGGATATTTAAGCCTTCCAACTTTGTTCTTATACTCAATCGTCTATTACTTTTTTTCTAGCTTTAATTCTAAACAAGGTGATAACCCTAACGCAGTGTTTGGTTTCATGTAATAAAGTATTATTATGAAATTCCAGTTGACAGGAAACACTTTGAATTGAAAGTAATTCCCACTAGGGGGATCATTGAACACTGATAAATAAATTTTAACAGTCAGATTATAAAAATACACCGCAATTTATAATAGTTTTTCTACATTACAAATGTGTATAACACAATCAGGTTGTTATTAACAAGGTAATAGTGAAGTAATAAACAGTTTTGACATTCGTGAAAAACTACGATTTGAGTAAAATATTGGTGATAGAGAAGACGTATATTACTTAATGCTAGTGAACATTATGTATTGATCATTTAACTTAAAATAGTAGATATCTACAATCGAGATTGTTCATTTTCACTGAATTATGATAAATTACTGTTAGTAGTATTATTCAAATATCATTTACAGTGATTTTAAATAGCTTAGAAGACTAAAAGCAAGTATTTTTATGATACACATTCCTTAAAAATTCTTAACCATATAAATAAATATTTATAAAGAAATGATTCACGATTACCAATCGCTATAATAATAATAGTAATGCTACTACTAATACTGTAAATAATAGTATTTACACGAACTAAACATACGTGCTAATACAACAAACATCAAACCATGATCTTAAGATCTTTTCTTTTAATGGTTAAAGTTGCATACACCTTATTAAATACAATACCGATCGATGGAGTACATACCTTTTTCTTTATGACTGACTACATATGAGAGGGATTTTACGTTGTGAAAAACTCTAAAAATCCACTTAATGTGAAAAAATAGTATACTGAGAATGACAGTGTCTTAAATGTACTTCTTATTAGTAGTCAGCAATTGACGAGTAATAAACTAGGCAGTTATAAGAATACTACATCTGTCAAAGATCGGTTGAGAAAAGCAAAATGAAGGTAGCACGTAGATAATGAAAAATGAGAAAACGTCAAATTCCATGTCAGTCAGCAATACCGTAGGACCAGGCACACATATGCATCGGTCCAAGTTGCTACACCTCATCAGCGCAACAAGATGGACACCGAATTTGTAGAAGTAGTTACTTCAATGGCACTAATATATAAAAGAAAGATTGTGTATAAGGATATAATACGGAAAGAAAGAATTAGTTTGTAGAAAGAAAAGGTATAAAGTGATTTTGATCTCACAGTTTAAGGGAGGAAAGAGAGTGTGACCGCAGTGCCTGACGGATAACTGCTTGAGGTCAGTCACACACGACCTTTTTGTAAGTAACTTTCATGTTAGCTCCGTGCTTGTTGAGACCTTACCGCCTGAGACGAAAATCCGTGGGATAAGGTGAGGTGTGCATTTATAGGGTCGACCTATTCTAACCCCACTCCTCCTTGTGGAAAGGCAGCATCGCTGTTATGCTGATTGTCTGAAGCAAACAGCTTACTGTTGTCACACATCTGTTCAATCATCATTGCGACTTCACCCTTAAACCTTGATTTTGATGCTTTTAGTCTTAGCGCTCTTCAACCGACCTATCTGGCATGGAAGAACCTTGAGAAAAGATTGTCCTAAAGAGTATAGCTTTATTGGTTCATCACGATTGGCAAGCCCGATCACCATGTCAAGATAACAGCAACGGTCGGGCTAATCACTGGGATGTTAGATCTATATTATTTTTACTGATAATAATCTACCCAATGCACAATTTATTTGAAATCATCAAGTCAAACCTTGGTGATGATACTTATCATATAAATCTACATTTTATACACACTACATCACAAAGAATATATGCATAAGAAAGGTAAGTTAGTATGTTAAAATAAAAAGAACATTTTCTGTGGTAAAAAGGTGATTTTATAATACAGTGATTAGCAGAGAACTAGAAGTGCATTAAAGTCTAAAAATTCTTCACTTTCAATGCATGAATCTTTAAAGATAATCCTTTAACTAATCATAATCTTAGTTATGAATACCAACAGGTGTTCAGTAATATATACACTCAATATGTTGTACTATTTTTGGAATTAAGCAATTTCTAAATTATCAGTCTACTACTCAAGTTGTATAATGACAAACAACAATACAGATATGATAGCCATACAGCTTAACAGTGCAAAGTGCATTTAGTCAGGACTGAGAAATTAACAATCACCTTCGATCGAATATTTTTCTTCAATGAAATAGAGAAATTATTTTATTTGAAAATTAAAACTATCTACCTGTCCATAGTTTGGCATTGTATGAATCGCGTGCTTTAGTGAATAGTGTTTGAACTTCATCTTTAATTTCACTCCAAGAACGTTGAGTATCATCTGTATTATTAACTATTTGATCATATACAGGTGAATCACTTTTTAAACACCAAGAGAGCATATCAAATGTAGCATATAGACAAGAGAGCCACATGCCACCAGTGTAAGCACTAAAGAATGATACGAAAGCAATATTTCAATTACAAAAGTGTCAGTTATGCCTGATGTTACAGTATAGTCAACTCAAAACGTTTACAGTTCGCAAAAATACTCAGACGAGTAAAATCCTGTCAATCATGTAAATAGTTATTATCTAAGCAACTACAAATTAATTAAACATACAAGAACATCATATGTTGTTGTAAAATAGCCCGAAAGCTATCATATTAACAACGGTTAAATTTGATTACGGAATAAAAGCAAATGCAATTAAATGTGACCTATAAAGGAGCGGATACGTTGTACGAATGTTTGATATGACTATTTTACTAAAAATGAAAGAGGAAAACGACTCTCCTGAAAGTTTGGTATGCAGAAACGCCCGAAAATATGTTGGTTCTAGATTCAATGAATAATTCAAATACATATCTGAAACTGGCATCAGATTTACTAATAAGTATTAGTCACATTTTCTGTAAGTATGATGAGCTATCATTCACATGAAATGTATCTTGATAATCATTTATGGGGAGATGATTAATGCCTCAAGACTGAACCATTCATCGAAATGAACAAAACAACACCATAGTCCTCCTATACAGCGCTATAATTCATTTTCATATTAAGGGAATTAAAAAGGGTAACAAATACAAGTGGTGTATCTTATAATCAGACTGAAAGTTAGTTAGCTAAAAACAAGGTTTTATAATTAAACGACCTCGTAGAAAGCACATCGAAACCCACCAATCTTCCAAAACATATATGTTTGATAGGGCTATTAATTTCGTTTAGGATAAACCAGACATCTTCATAGTTCACACAATCCAACAGCCATTCATTCATATTTTTGTTAAATAACAAACCATTTGAACAGTTTATGCAACATTTCCGTGTTCGGCTCTGAAACTAAATCAACTAACACTACATATTGATGATCTTTTTTGGTTGCTTATAGATAAAGTGGCACATAAAGTATAGTGAACTGAAGTCGGTATCTCTAAATTTTCTAAGGCTGTATACCATACTACTAGTAACCACGAATAAGTAGGTGAGTTAGTGACCTCATTTGTAGCAAATTATCCTGGTAGATCTCCACGTTTTAAAAGAACAATAAACATGTATAGCTTCGTACGATAATGTGTCACACTAGGCAGTCACATCTCGAAACAGACCTGGAAAAATAAAATCAACAAAAATGTGCATGTAATAGAGCAAATAACAGATATGTACGGAGGGATCATGAACTGAAGATTGAGATATATGAGAGAAATGAATGTGTATGGCCCAATACAACTTAAAATTCCAGAAGTCAATTTTTTATTGACACTATACAAGCAAAATTAGCAGTGTTAAATGATGATACAACGCGATAACAGTACACATCAGTGGATGACCTATTCCTCATTTTATCTATTGTAGTATATTTCAGCTATATGAGCTTCCAAGAGCTGTAACTGGTGTAACTGGTGAATAATTATACAAATTTCTGAATTATTGAGTACATTTGTATACCATTCTACAGGCGTCATTTGAAAAATTATGTTAAAAATCTTACTGCTACCATAATTTACCAGTATATCCAAATTGACACGTTATGATTACCAATATATATCATTCAATAACTTCAAAAATATTCAAAGTAGCCATTTTGCATAGTTTGAAATGATAGGAGTATTAATATAATTTAGTTTAAAGATAATACCATGAAGAGTTTCAATATGGAGTGTTTAAAAGTTACATTCCATTTGTAGGTAGTTCTTCATTAGGAATTGAAACAGGTGAAAAACAATTACGTCTACGGGACAGTGGGTGGATATTTTGCTTTATAATCAACTTCAATTGTATACAGATGAGAAGTTCCGAAAAAAAGGACAAAACAGTTGTCTTTAACTTGTTTCAAACACTAGAAATTATTAGACATGAAATACTCTAATTTAAAGTCTGACAATGATTTACGTTTCAATACGTGGGAAAGAGGACTGATTCAGTAAGTGTTATTGAGAACTTACGTCAGGCCTTTTGCAGTCCATACGTCATACGTTTGATCAGGAAAACCTGAATTCTCAATTAGTCCGTCATCATCAGAATCCCATGCTACCAACGACTTTCTCAGAATTCTCTATAAAAAAAGAGAAATAACAGTTATCAACAAAAGGTCCATCTCAAGATTTTATATAAAAAAAACTCTGAATGGTAGAAAACTATTGACGTAAGAAACTTGTGTTTTGTGATAATTATAAACATAAAAATAAAACTTACTGAACAACTTTCAAATAACAGAAGACCGAAAAAATTTAGTTACCAAAAAACATCAGATCTCAGCTGAATAATTACACCCGACCGTTGCTGCTACCTTGACGTGGTGGTCGGGATTGCCTATCGTGATGATCCAATCGAGCTATGCTGGCTGGAACAATCGTTCCTCAAGGTCCTACCATGCCAGATAGGTCGGTTGAAGAGCGGTGAGACTAAAAGCAGCAATCCCAAGGTACGAAGGCGAAGTCGCACTGCTGACTGTACAGAGGTGTGACAGCAGTAAGGTGTTTCCTTCAGACAACCAGCATAACAGCGATGCTGCCTTCCCACAAGGAGGGGTGGGATTAGAAAAGGTCGACCCTAAAAATGCACACCTCGCCTTATCCCACGGATTTCCGTCTCCGGCGGTAAGGACTTTTGAAGAACGGAGCTAACACGTCAAAAATCCCCCACAAAAAGGCCGTGCGTGACCGGCCTCAAGCAGATGTCCCTTGGGCTCTGCGGTCACGCTCCCAGGTCGTTAAGACCAACACTAATCCAACTTCTTTTTCAGGTCCCTCAAGAAATACCCTTCCACGGTGTGGGCAGCCGGGAAGTGATATTAGCCCTCATACCCTTAACTGCACACAAGACCAAGTTGGTCGCTTTCAAATCATTCCTACACCTAATAACTCTGTTATCTCCACGACTAACCCTTCCTACGTTCTTTTATCACCTCGCACCGCTAGGGCAAACGATTCGAGTACACAGAACGTTATTCCTGGTCTCCTGAAACCACGCTCTAAACTACATATAGGAACTTTTAATGTCCGAACATTGTGTGGGAGTCTCATCAGCCCTTGTGGTCTGGTATGTGACGAAATCTCAGCACGGATACAGAAGGCTCGTCTAGCTTTCGCCAACTTGCGTCATTTATGGCGTAGGCGAGATATCCGTCTAGCAACCAAAGGATGGGTTTACTGTGCAGCAGTTCGCTCCGTCCTACTTTATGGCAGTGAAACATGGCCAATAAGAGTAGAGGATATTCGTAGGCTTCTAGTGTTCGATCATAGGTGTCTTCGAAGCATTGCTCGTATATCCTGGGACCACCGGGTAAGTAATGCAGTTGTTAGGAAACGAGTACTAGGTAGGGATGGCAAATGGATTGATGAAGTAATGAAACTTCATCAGTTGAGATGGCTGGGACATGTGTTACGTATGCCCGACCACCGACTGCCCCGACGTGCAATGTTTCATGGTGTAGGAGTAGGTTGGAAGAAAGCTAGGGGTGGCCAGACCAAAACGTGGCACAAATCAATGAAGTCACTGACAAGTGGACTGGGCCATGTTGGTAGGTGTAGACTACCTGGTTGGGATTCGCGAGACGACAGCAACCGATGGTTAGAGACCTTGAATGACATGGCTCAAAATCGTTTGCAATGGCGAAGATGCATCCACTCTTTGTGTTCTACCAAATTCTAATCTTCTGAATTCCTCATGTCTTTATCTTTTTCTCTTTCCAAATTTATTTCACTGTACTATACTCCTTCAATAATTTCGTCAAACCCTAATCTTTTTTGGATTTCTGATTATACTCCTACTACTTCTACCACTATGGGATTTGAATCGACAACTGCATCTCTGTGCTAATGTGGTATGGCAACTCGAACTGATGTACGTACGTACGAAGTTCTACGTTGTGACTGACTGACTGAATTACACTACTATGTCCTTTGTTTCGAGGTGAATATTAAAAAAAACGTTTTAGGTCAGTCAAACAAATACATTTAAAAAAAACTCAAAAATCAACAGTGAATTCACCAAAAGTCGGATGAGAATTGTCTGAAGTGGTCTATTGCATTGTTAGGATATTCACAAGAATATCCCAAAAATTATCTCGAATGTAAAGTGGTAAGTTTTCAGACTCTTCACATAATTCGCATGTTTTCTCCTATTGGCCATTATTTACAGTTGTCCTAACTATGACTTTCATGTGACATTTCCCTATTAGTCAATTTCGAGTTGTTCTAATTATTAACTTTACGTGTCCTTCCTTTCCATTGGTTACTGTTAATAGTCATTGTAACTGTATAAATATGCCTTGTCTGTAAACCATTTTTGCTCTGCTGCTGACCCCATAAACAATTCTCATTTGACAGCTGTGTTCTGATTTATTGGATTTGGGTAACAGTATTGGGGTCGAACTAGGATATCTGAATTTGATCAACCGGTAGAATTTCGTGTAGTCTTATCGCAATACGTAATATCTGGGCGAATTTATATTATGCATTCCTTTCATTTTAAAACAGGCTTATAACTGAAACAAGTATACTTTCCAGTAAATAGACTGCTATAGAGTACAGAAAGTCCGGAAAAGATAAAAAAGCGGACCACGATCACGACGCATGGAAATTTTCACTGTACATTTTTTGCATTGTCATGTTGTACTACAAGGCTAATTATACTAGTGAAAGACTACTAGGTACTGCTGAATTTAACGAGTCATCAGAATTGTGTTAACTAACGACAGGTCCGTTGGGTTGAAACTTCTGGCAGGCTACGTCTTAAGGGTCACCAATACAACAATAGGGGGGAATGAGCAGTGGAGGTAAATAAATCCCCTGTAAGTCTTTGTCATTGATTCTGATCTCATTCGTTTCACCGAAAACTCCATTGAAAGCTCTCAGTCACGCATCTGAGTTTCCGACCCTTTGTGGAAAATATGTTGTTAATCATAAATTGATGAGTTCCAGTAAATTTTGACTTTGAAGCTTTGTGTACTTAGCGAGATTTGTGTCGTTTGTGAAAAGCAGGGATTATAGTTGCTTTGATAAGCTTGATTCATTAACAGGGCCGAAATTCAAATCAATTGGAGATACAACCAAAACAAATAAGTAAACAATGACAGGTTTAAGGTCAACAAGAACCAATCAACATTGAGATCTACAGGACAAGCTGTGAGCCATATGTGGAGAAATTCGAACACTTTATTTCTACTCGAAGTTTGTACTGATGATGTCGTTCAGAGAAACGATGGAAGCTCCATGATCGAACCATTCAGCTTAGAGAACAAAACTCCATCAAAATCATTCACCTGAACTAAACGTCTCCACCATCTCATAATATCAAATGTCAACAGTAAAGAGGGTAACAATAAATTAGTGTTCTAAGTTTATAACAACAAAAGTTAACATGAACTCTAATGACTAACCAAGTAGAAGTATTACACTGTAAATAAGGCATAATAATTATTTTCAACAAATAAATCAGAGGTTAAGTGAAAGTTTTGTTTAAAATTGAGGTAAACACTTATTATGAGGACAATTACAGAAGCTACACGGAAGACTTAACCGTTATATATAAAGAAAATTCACACATGTACTTGTGTTTTTACTCAAAGAGAAAAAACAATAAATGATCAAATAAACGCTTTTGTGCAACTGAAACGAAATGCGCCTGTGGAATTGTGAAGATCTCTGTGAAACATTATGAATAAACATAAGGCAAACTAGAAAAACTGAGCGAATTACACCTGTAAACTGATTAAGGATTACTTCCTAAATTGTTGTTTTGTTAGTTTGTAAACTACGTGCATATTTATCGCAACATGTTTTCCATCAATACGAAGTACCACTTGACTTTCTAATTAAATTCTATAGTTATGACAAGTATACATAAGCAAATATGGATGGTAGATAGCAGTGGAATCCAGGACGCACGTTTCGTTCTATTTGAGACTAGTCAGCTGGATGTACCCACATATCAGAGTTGATGTTCAGCCCGGGATTCGAACCCAGTACCGTTCGCTTAAAACTCCATCGCGTTGTCCTCTTGGCTACTGAGTTCTGATTGCCACCTGCTTGTGCAGTGGGATGAGGTTTAAATTCACTTGGTATGATTTGCTTTTATCAACAACGATGGGAGTGAACATCAACTCTGAGGTGAAGGCACATCCAGCTGGAGAGTATCAAATATGACGAAGTGCGCGTCCTGGATTTCACTGCTAGCCACCATTCATATTCGCTCATGCAGCTTGTGATTTAAGGCAATATCGAGGCAGTCCGCATAGGATACGCCTATGCCAACAAGAGACTGATCGATTGCAGTCCTAAACAACAATCGGAAGATACAAGCAAATAATACCAAGTGAATTTACAAATATATATATAGTTTACATGAATCAAGTAAATAGATTTGATCGTTTTTCAGAAAGTCGTTTTAGAACAAACAACTAACCATATTTCATATTGGAACAGATACATTAACATTCATTTACGTCTGTTTGAGCAAGAATGTAACACTCACCAAAAGTGTTTATCTGTTTCTAAAATAATTTTTAATGTTTTTCTGACATAACATAATTGTCTACCATTAAGCGAAATCAACGAACCATAAACAATGAAAGAAATATGCCAACAAAGTATATTGATCGGGTATCTATAATTGTAAACAATTTAAGTGTGAAAACGTGGCTCAGTAATTAAAACGTTTGACTTTTAGTCAACAAGTCACAGGTTCAAACCTCGCCTCATCTACTTCGGTATTAACAAACGGGCAGCATCACTAGATCTTACATCAAGAGTATGGCTCAGAAATCAGCACACGGATCTATACCTGGTAAATGATTCACGCTATGCTGTTTGAGTAACATGGTACAGAATCGATCATAATGATGCAAGTTCGCTTACGAATTATCCTCCTCGCGATCCTAAATTCCAGTAATTCTGGATACATACTTTTGCATTTTGTCTTTTCGAACCGAATTGCCAGTGTTCAGTCATTCTCACGATCGTTGGCACAACATTACTTCAATCATTTTTGTTTTTCATCATACATTTATCTCGTTGTGCTAATGGGGCATGGAAGCATGAGTCACAGCACACCTATGCCAGGCCCTATGTTGATGATAACTGAATGAAATAGTTCAAGTAATCTCATTACTACTTACTTACTTACTTACGCCTGTTACCCCTCGTCGAGGAGCATAGGCCGCTCACCAGCATTCTCCATCCAACTCTGTCCTGAGCCTTCCTTTCCAGTTCTTTCCAGTTACTATTCAGCCTTTTCATATCGGCTTCTATTTCCCGGCGTAGTGTGTTCTTTGGCCTTCCTCTTTTCCGCTTCCCTTCCGGATTCCAAGTTAGGGATTGAGTCGTGATGCACATTGGTGATTTCCTTAATGTATGTCCGATCCACTTCCAACGTCTTTTCCTAATTTCCTCTTCAGCTGGAAGCTGGTTTGTCCTCTCCCATAAAACGCTGTTGCTGATAGTATCCGGCCAATGGATGTTGAGTATTTTGCGTAGACAACTGTTTATAAATACTTGTACCTTCCTGATGATGGCTGTAGTAGTTCTCCACGTTTCAGCTCCATACAGTAGGACTGTCTTGACGTTCGTATTAAAGATTCTGACTTTGAAATTGGTTGAGAGTTGTTTTGAGTTCCATATGTTCTGCAATTGTAGAAATGCTGCCCTTGCTTTGCCAATCCTTGCCTTTACATCTGCATCCGATCCTCCTTGTTTATCAACGATGCTCCCCAGGTACTTGAATGTTTCCACCTCTTCCAGAGTTTCGCCATCAAGTGTGATTGGGTCGGTGTTCTCCGTGTTGCATTTGAGAATCTTGCTTTTTCCTTTGTGAATGTGGAGGCCTATCGATGCGGAGGCTGCTGCTACATTTGCTGTCTTCATCTGCATTTGGTCGTGTGTATGAGAGAGGAGGGCTAGGTCATCTGCGAAGTCCAAATCATCTAATTGATTCTGAGCTGTCCATTGTATTCCGTATTTCCCTTCAGATGTCGAATTCGTCATAATCCAGTCAATCACTAGAAGGAAGAGAAATGGGGAGAGTAGACAGCCTTGTCTGACTCCGGTCCTTACTGGAAATGCATCTGTCAGCTGTCCTCCATGCACCACTTTGCACTGTAATCCATCGTATGAGTTTTGGATAATGTTGACGATCTTCTGAGGAACTCCATAGTGTCGAAGAAGTTTCCACAATGTTCTCCTATCCACGCTGTCAAACGCCTTCTCATAGTCGATGAAGTTGACGTATAGTGATGAGTTCCACTCAACTGATTGTTCAACGATGATCCGTAGTGTCGCAATCTGGTCTGTGCACGACCGATCCTTACGGAATCCAGCCTGATGATCCCTAAGTTCGGCGTCTACTGCGTCTTTCATCCGATTCAGCAGCACTCAGTTGAAAACTTTTCCCGGTAATGATAACAAACTAATGCCTCTGTAGTTCTCACATTGGCTCAGATCTCCTTTCTTTGGTATCTTGATGAGATATCCTTCTTTCCAGTCCGTTGGCACTTGTTCCTCTTCCCAAATCTTTTTGAATAGAAGGTGAAGCATGTTTGCAGTTATTTCAATGTCTGACTTCAGTGCTTCTGCTGGTATATTGTCAGGTCCTGCCGCCTTCCCACTTTTGATTTGTCTGATGGCCATCTTGACTTCTTCGATCGTTGGTGGAGTGACATCTATTGGAAGGTCAGTGTGGGCTGCTTCGATGTTCGGTGGATTCAATGGGGCTGGTCTATTCAGCAGTTCCTCAAAGTATTCTGCCCATCTTTTCCTCTGTTCCTGAATCTCAGTGATTGTCTTTCCTTCTTTGTCTTTTACTGGTCTCTCTGGTTTGCTATATCTCCCTGCCAATTTCTTCGTTGTATCATATAGTTGTTTCATATTCCCTTCTCTTGCAGCTTTTTCCGCCGCCGTTGCTAGTTCTCCCATGTATTTCTGCTTGTCGGCTTTAATGCTTTTCTTCACTTCTCTGTTTGCTTCTGCGTAGTCTGCTTGTGCTTTGACTTTCTCTGCTCGTGTTCGGCTGTTGTTAATTGCTAGTTTCTTGTTCTTCCTTTCTTGAAGTTTGTCCAGGGTCCCCATAGAGATCCATTCCTTGTGATGGTGCTTCTTAGGACCAAGAACCTCCTGACACGTTGAAGTTAGTGCTTCTTTTATCCCTTTCCAGTTGTCCTCCAAAGTAGTTTCTTGTCCATCCAGTAGATCCTGTAGAGCTTGGAACCTGTTGTTGAGAGTTATCTTGAATTCATGGAGTTTGTCAGTATCTCGAAGGAAGGCTGTATTAAACCTTTGTAGTGCTGTTTGTCCAGTTGTCCAGTCTTTCCTTAGCTTCAGTCTCATCTTGACCACAACCAGGTGGTGATCTGAAGCTATGTCAGCTCCTCTCCGGGTTCTCACATCTTCCATTGATCTTCGGAATTTTTTGTTGATACAGATGTGATCAATCTGGTTCTCTGTGGTGTGGTCCGGTGAGATCCATGTAGCTGTGTGTATGCGTTTGTGTGGGAATATTGTGCCGCCTATAACCAATTTGTTGAAAGCACATAGGTTTGCAAGTCTCTCCCCATTTTCATTTCTCTCTCCTAGTCCATGTCGTCCAATTACATCTTCATATCCTGTGTTGTCCACTCCAACTTTAGCATTTACATCTCCCATAAGGATGGTGAGGTCCTTTCGTGAGCACTTCTCCATAATTGATTGCAGCCTTTCATAGAACTGATCTTTATCATCGTCGTTGCTATCATTGGTGGGTGCATAACATTGGATAACGTTCATTGTGATCCCTTGCTTCTTTGTTCTGAATGATGCTTTGATTATCCTGGGTCCATGAGATTCCCATCCCACAAGTGCATTTCGTGCTTCTCTGGACAGCATTAGAGCAACTCCCTGAGTGTGTGGCGCATTTTCCCCTTCGTGACCGGAGTACAGCAGCATCTCTCCTGTACCTAGCCTTTGTTGTCCAGTTTGTGTCCAATGGGTTTCGCTGATTCCGAGTACTGCCAAGTTGTATCTCCTCATTTCCATTGCTATTTGGCTGGTCTTTCCTGTTTCCCACATTGTCCGGACGTTCCATGTACCTATAAAGAGTGTTGCTCTGGTTGTTAGAAGGTGCATCGGTCTCGTGACTTCCGAAGAATTTCGGCTTTCATCATGAGACGTCATTATTCCTTCAACTCCCAGGGCAGAGTTTAAATGGTTTGGATTATTTTTTCTGGTTAGCGTTTTTTTAGCGAGTTAGCTTTTCTACGGGATGGGTCGCTAACCCCATGCCCAACCCTCCTCCTTTACCCGGGCTTGGGACCGGCAGTAACTCTAGAAGAGCTACAGGCGGAGTTATTACTAAGATATATAATAATACAGCTTCACCTAAGATTAAGTAATTTATCTCATTAGTCAAAAGACCAACAGATTTTTAGTGAAAATCAAAACACCAGATAAGTTCTAAAATCTAGTCAGACCTAATGGCGTTTAACTGCCCCCATACATAACTTATTTGTCCTAATGTATTATGACGGTTCCTAAGTATAATTCAAAGCACCTTCTTATAATAGACATAAGAAGATTGTGAATATGATTTTTTGTTCGGAAGAAAGAGAATGAGAAACGAATCGAAACTGAAAGACGGATGATCGTTATAAACTGGATATAGTTTGAAATTGTGAGGTGTGAAATTGTGAACTCGAGGAAGCTCTAAAATGCTCAGAAAGAGACAAAGATATTCCATCCAATCAGCTTTTAGACGAATATTCCAGGATAACTACGTGCAGCTTCCCTACTAGACAAATGCTAATAACCCCCTGTGAGGGGATCGGATAACTATAATGATTATTTCATTTTTACTAAAAACTATAAATACCTGACAGTTTTGCACCATAATTGACAGTGTTTGGAACAACATTCCTTCCACTTATCTTCTGTTTTCTCATTTGAGACTTCGGAAGGTTTTAGTGTTCCAGTGCTCAAGTTATACGCGGCATACTAAGAATCTAAGTTCTAGATATAACAAATATCATTCGTTGGGAAAATAAGACCTCTGTCTTAAACTAGTTTCATATTTTATGGTAATATGTGATTTCTTTTCAGTGCAATCTAACTACAAATTATGGTTTCTTGCAACGAGTATGTTTAGTATGTAATTACAAAATTAGAAGACCATGGGGGTTGCTACTTTTCAGTATCGGATATCTTTGGACGATGAAAGGACAAAAATGTTGATACAATCATAAGTAAATTTATTCTGGAAGGAAAGCTGATTCACACGATGACTGTACCATATGGTTTTAATTTTTTGCCATTTTTTGAAGGCAATTCTACCGTTAGCTCAGTGGTGGTCGTTCATTAATGCATTCAATCACCAATCACTCAGTCCTAGGTTCGAAAACTAAGCCCGTTCACTTCAGCTTGGGCAACTGAGCAGTATTACTGGCCCTTACCCTTTGATTGTGGTTCAAAGTCATGTATCTGGTGAAGAAGCTTATGAAGAAACAAAGAAATGTCCTTATTATTAAATCCATAAACTGCGTTGACAGAATAAGTAGAAAAATATGATGATAGGTGATGTCCAATGTCACTTTTTTATCATTACTAATACATTGAATAGAAACTGAGATTATTATGCAAGATACTCCATGACTTAAAATAAATCCATTAATAAATGCTGTATTTTTACTCGATCGCTGCTGGTGAATACACAGTGAATATGCACAAGAAAAGCTTACCAAAACAATCGGAAGCATATATAATAAATATTGATGGTCTTGTGTAATACGCCAATCACGCCAAACTTGTAAAATGAATTTCGAATTCAAATCTTTCCACGTATCAGTAGGAAACATTATGTAGGCGTTGGTACATCGCCAAGGTTCGTCTTCCGGATCACCAAAATCGTGAACAACTGCACATTCGGAACTTCTGAATAACGTTTTCCCATTACCAATGTAATAGACTGAAGTTGAATCTTCAGCTATAGTCAAATCGGCACAATCATAATTTAAAGCCAGTTGTATTTTAGGCCATAATTTTATTAAAGCCCATGATGCATAATGATGTACATCGTATGTATTGTACATTCGATATTCATGACCTAAAATATAAAATGAAATGAACAATCTAAAAAATAATTAGACTACCATAAAACTTGAAACAGCTGGAAAATTATATTACAAATCGATTGAGAATGTCACTAACGCGCTATTGTAAAAATAATATTCATGAAATATATGGGAATTCAACTTTAGAGGTGATATTTCATTAAAATATGTTATAGAATGCTGCATAGGAAAATTAGGTCGATCTCCGCCTGTAGCTCCTCCGAGGGCTACTGCCAGTCCCAAGCCAGGGTAAAGGAGGAGGGTTGAGGATAGGGTTAGCGACCCCATCCCGTAGAAAAACAACTCGCTAAAAAACGCTAACCAGAAAAATTAAGCTTGTTTTAGTCGTTTATTTTATTATTTTCATCTTTTGTATGAAATTATATAGCATCGTTTCAAAATGACATTTTCTCATTGATGAACAAATAAATTCCTAATAAGAATGTTGAACTACTGAAGAAGTTCACAATGATGACTGAAAGTCTAGTATACGTAACTATTTTGAATGCATGCAAAGTCCAGATAAGAAATCGCTTAGTGAAAAGCTTTTTTAGCATAGTAGCAGGTTAAAATGTGAAACAAATTATTTGATCAAAGTGGAAATCAACACCCGAAATCCAGTTGATTCCAAAAAAGTAATTTAAGCCGCATCACAGAAAAAATGTGTGAATTGTCAGCGCAAAGTAAATTTCAACATTCAATTAGAGACACATGAATCAATATAAATCCCACCACTCTTAAAAGCGAATGCGAATTATTCCTAAGAAATTTACGTAACGTATGTTAGCAACTCATTCTTAACAAATCAACTTAGGCGAAGAGTATGTTTTTAATTGGTGAGCGAGTAGACGTTTAGACAAGTAATCTTAAATGCACAGGGCGATGCCTAATATAAGCCTCAGAAGGTTTTGCCTCCTACTCGATCAAAAAGTAAATACTCTGAGAACAAATACAAAAAATAGCTTCATGCAAACAATTCACTTATTACCTACCTTCAAGATATCCAAACAAACCTATTTCACGTGATAATCTAGCACGATGATCCCAAGAGTCGACTTTCATATCTTCAGTTACTGTAGTTGGAGTTTTAATTTTGCGACCAGTTAACTTATATGGATCCATATCCACACCATTTTTGTAGCTTCGTACAAGGTCTAGTGGTATACAATTCAGCAGATCTGATTTAAAACAATCAACTTGGATTGGATCTAGCCATACAGTTCCACCATCACTAAGATAATATAATTCATTGAATAAAGCAGACTTATACCAACTTGGAAGCGATCTGTATGTGGTAAAGAAACGATTTTATTAAGCAGAACAAAATGTTATCAAATCAAAGATATAGAACGCAATACCCAATGGTTTCAGTTGTGATGAAACTTATGACATAAGAAAAAATGTTTATGAATCACAATATGGTAATATTTAAATTACGAGAGTACTTAAATATATATTGCTTAACTGAATACAGTTTTCCACGCATTATTCCTTACATTCTACATCTATCATGGGAGCTATTCTTAGTCGATAGAGGAGAGCAGAAAATTACATAATTTAGAATTAATAATTGTTTATAAGAACTATGACGCGCTGGTTATGACCCATATTACATCAATACATATATCGCCGAAGTATGTATAACATCAAACCACTAATTCATGGTAATAATTAACATGACATCATAGTAGAGAGTTAATAACACGTAACAACAATTAATAAGTAGTTCGAAACAAAACATACAATTAAAAGTAAGTAGTGATTTAGAACCAAACAAAAACTACCAAACGAAGGAAATCAAGCTCATTGCATTAACTGATTTGGCATTTTAACCTAATATCTCCAGTTTTACCTCAACACTGATCATTCAATGGTTTTAGCACACGCAAATAATGCTTCAATGCATCTGTGAGCAATCCATAGAAAAATTATGTTTGTTCCCCAAGTTTAGAAACTTTAAGAGAAATAAAAAGTCAAGCAATATACCAGTGACCTTAACAAAGTCTAGATAATTAATTTCAATTTACTTCAATAAAAATACATTTGTGTATGAGATAAGCGCGGAAACAACAGAAACACTTTACTTTAGACGTTCTACACCAAGATCCGATATATAACGTAGGAGAATACAAAAACTTACTGATTATTGAGGATAGGATTTTGCCAATCCTCAATTTTCTGGACCCATTGCCTCCAATTATCTATTGCATGGGCTAGTAACAATTTAGCTCCAGATATTCTGTCAACAGGAAACCAACGAACATATCGACTGAAATTTTTTTTAAAGTAGAAAAAATGAACAACATCAATTAAATCACCAACATAAAAATCGACATTACAGTGAAAAGGTCTCTGAATTTATGAACCCATTTTGAAAAAGAAAGAAATTTAATACTGATATTTATATGCTGCATCACCTATGAACAGTGGGTTGTTTAGTCGAAACTTTAATCAATTCAGGCAAACTGGTCATTTAAATTCTATGGGAATATAAACTTGTGAGTAGTGCTTTATTTAATTAAACAAAACGTCCCCAACATTATAAAAACTACAAAAACTAGATATTGGTGTTTCCGAAACTAAAGTAGAGAATGAGTACTAACCCTACGACTAGTACAAGCCTTGAACAATTTGACGATATGGAAGGCAACAACACTCGAAGCGTTAAGTATCATTGTGTGTAATAAAAAATATTGGTCTTTTACAATAGAGAGTTTAATAAATTTAGAAAAAATGCTACTATGCAACTTAAGTAAGCATAAAATGAAGCAACATTTTAAAAGACAAGTAGAAGGTGAGTTTTATTAGGGATTTTGGACTATCACGGACAAAGAAATTTAAAAGATTCTATTATATTGACTATATCAATGGACTTAATTTAAGTATAACTGTGATTCTTAACTGAACCCAGTTCCTCAAGGGACGATTTCGACATAAACTTCACAACAGATGAAAAACAATTAAATAAGAACTTTTACTGCTTAAATTACGAATAAACGTGTTTTCCAACATGATCATATGATACCCTGGTGTAACCACGGAAATAACAAAGGAATGGCTGATAGGTGACTGATATATGTCAATAAAACTTGTCCTTCATTATGGCATCGCTATAATATATTGTTGCTGCAAGTAAAATACTGAATAACTACTGCATGAAAATGAGATTGAATAAAATGTGTTGGAAAGTATTTAAATTTTGCAATAAATGAAATAACGAATGGGCTTTAGGCTTCAGAAACAGTAGCAAGTCCTAAATATTATCAATAGTGTACATGAAAAACATAATTTTTTATAAACCATCACCAAATGAACTGAAAAACAAAATAAAGTCACGTACCGAGTATAAACAACGTCACCTGTTCGAAATTTTACTATTGGAGAATGCCAGGTGATGGCAAATTCAACTTCGCTTTGACTAGGATTAAGATTATCAGTGATGTTGCATCGGGGTACTTCAGTTGTGGCACTTACAGCTATGGCTAGTTTGGGTGATTTCTTGGCTTCAGAATCAAGTGGCACGGTATAACCAACTAAAAAGAAAAAGATATTGAACACTAGCATAAAGTGAACGACACTTGCGTATAGAAACTACTAATCAGCGCAAAAATTAATTTTAAAAGCCACCGAGATTAGATTTTCATGATGGTATTTGAAAAACCAATAAAATGTGAGTAAAGATATCACAAAAGGGCATAAAAAAATTGGGTTACTCGTTGAGCAGAGGAACTATGAGTGTAAAAGAAAGCAATAAAGTAATCAAGAAAAGAATGAAGACATTTGATATTCACTTTATTTTTAACGACTCAGTAGCAAAAAGCACAATTTAAACGCCTTCCAAGCATAAAAACCCCATTAGTTTGATTTAGAAAGACTTTGTGGAGATGTCCTTGTTTGTACCAAACGTCAAACAGTTAACAAGAAAACTAACAGAAAGAAACCTACTTGAATTTAAACTCCTTTCTAAAGCTACAGCAACTTACAGATCATGCTAATGTAGGTTGTACAAAACTGTTTTTCGGCTACACTTCAAGAAGTAGATGAGTTTGTAAACATTCACTCATAATAACTGACAACTGTTTAAATACCATCCAGTTACGATAAATTATATAGCTAGCAGCAGTATCCAAGACAAAGGTTTCTTCAATTCCAAGAGTTATAAGATATATTACTTGATACTGCAGAGAGTGTTATTATTATTGAAGTTTAATAAATATCAAACATATTTCTTTATAAGGGGGACTAAAAAATATATTTCATATGCGTCAGTGTACTTTGTATTAAGTGTTACAGTTGAATTAGCAGTAATAAATTAAGTCCATACTAAGAATCAGTTTTATTTTACCGCTAGGTTTTAAATACATTAACCGACACATCTAACAACTTATTTATCCCTATTCCTCTTTATATCAACTGACGTCAGTTCACACGCAAAAAACATGAATTTTAGCAAAAAAAGGCGTGACTTTTTTGACCAAATGTATTTGATAGACATATCACTAAAATTAAAAATAATTCACAGTAATTTTCATACTTGTATGGAAATCAGGAGGTATTTGATCATACTGAAGATTATTCCAGAATTGTGAAGCAGATGGTGCTTCAGTGTAGGAAAGATAAGTCATCACATCTGAGTGACCGTTCCCATTAACTTCGGGATTATGTCTGGAATCATGCAAGGTAATGTGCAATGATTTATCGTGAAAACAGAAGCCTGGACACCGACTTACTTCGACCTTATGATAAATGAAAACAAACAATAAAGTTACGGAAGAATAATCTTTTACAAATTGGATCTAAATAAGCAACACATTCAACAATTTTTACTAATTAGCTGATTACCAACGTGACAATATTAAAAGCATAATCATGTCATATACAAAAATACTTTGAGTCATACACTAGGAATTAATGTAATTAATAGCAAAGTTGGAGGTAAGAAATATACTTTGAAAAGAACGAATGAAATAGGACAATAGAAGTATGTAATAACACTAAACTATAGATTTATAAAAAAAATGAATGTAAATGCGACAGATTTTTGGTCACTATTTAAGCTCATCAGACTACTCACCGAGTGAGCTGACTAAACGTGAGGAATCCTTCGAAGAAATTTAGCCTTTTCTTTCAACAGTTGATAATAAGAAAACGTGCACTTCCCATTCGTATCAATAGTTCGTTGGACACCAAACATCACAGGACTCAATAAACTTAGCGGCAAACAAAGTGAAGTGGTTACATCAATCTAAAAAGTTCAAAACCTGATTAACCTTTTCGAATTTATTGTTCTTGAGATTAATTTAAGTACCAGGTGATTATGGGAGATAACATTTCAGAAACTACTTGAATAAAAGATTTTTTATGGTTATCAACAACGTATTAATATCCTTGCACTGAGATCACTCAACCTAGTTAGATTAACTTCGCCTGGAGCCCCTCTGGGGTTACTTCCGGTCCCAAGCTCGGATAAAGGAGGAGGGTTGGGCATGGGGTTAGCGACCTCATCCCGTAGGAAACTAACTCACTAAAAATATGCTAACCTAGTTAGATTACTTGATGATGAACAATATATTTACTTGTTTAATCCGTCTATTCCAGTTGTAGTTTCACTAAGCTATTTCAAAAAAACAAAGTAGTGTTCTATTATTGTCAAACAAAATTAGGTTTTAATACACAGTGTAACATGCAAGTAATTAATCAAACTTATAAATAGGTAAACCCATCTTGTCTCTTTCTGTCCTCAGAGCACTTAGAAACAAAATACACTTGTGTTTCCTCCAGTTGAATTTCAATTTAGTGAATAAATCAGACCACCCCTTGTCAAAAAACACAAAGAAAATCGTACTGAGTGGTTTTAATTAAAAAGTACAATCGATAGGTCACAAAAAAGTCGTACGTTTGTATTAAATTCATGCACTTCATAAAAGAAATAAATGCGCTACATAATTTAGGTGATTATAACTTGATTTATCAGATTTAGAATTAAAAAATATTAAACGATCGAAGAACAGAATTCGTAGAAAGTGTAAAACCATTAGTTAGATGGAAGGTAAAATGGTTAAGCAACATATCAAAAATTGAAAAATAACTACCACAAGATAACTGCAATCACTAATTAAAAGCATCCCGAACCAATAGTTTTATTTATTTCCTTAGTCAAATGATAATTGGAAAATGTTTGACAATTTCAGAATGTTAAACACACCATCTTTTAAACAAATCAAAATATATGCAAGGAATCACTGTCAAAATTTACTCCAAAAAAGGACGTAAATCATTTCGAAAGTCTTTAATATATTCTACTCGGTATTCTGTTATTCCTATTGAAGAAACTGATGAAATAACACGACTTCAGTGAGACAGTACAAAGAAAATTTAAGGTTATTCAGTGATAAGATTTATTTCTATGGCTATGTACATAGATCCCACTAATGAACTTTTTCAATAAAAATAGCAGTGAAAAGATCAAACTACAAGGAAAATGCACCGAAATATTAAGCCCGATAGGTGAAATTATTATCCAACGTATATTTATGATTGAACATCAAATATAATTATTATTAGGTTACCTAGCCACCCAAACCACGACAGATCAGTGAATATTTTTAACCTTTTCCCCTGACAATTCAATTTTAAAAAGTCTGTAGAAATATCCTAGTAGGAAGGATTATCATCATAAACAATGAATATACAGCGCTGAGTCCTTTATTTTCGTAAACGGCAAGCAATCAACCAAAACGAGAAAAGTTTATTGTTTTTAAGTGAGAAAGATCATGCCTGATATCTAAGAGATGAACAAATAGACTAATAAATATATGTTCGAAATATTGATGTCAGATTAAAACCTCTCGATAATTGAAAACTCAATAAGGTACTTTCCTTGTCTCCAGACTGACGTAATGAGTATTTCTGAGAGGGTTGTTAATTAAAATTATTTGTCGAAAGATCGAATAAAGAGTAGATTGGTTAGAAAATAGTCGAAATCTCGAAAAAAGCTGAATGAACGATTCGATGCATGATACTTCAAAAATAAGTACTAATATACAGAATTAAAACTTCACGAGTTGATGGGCAACTTACTTTGTCTGTTGATTTAGCTGCGATACCAAAACAACAAGGTAATTCATCCCCAATAGTTCTTTCTAAAAGACATCCAAGTACGTTACCTCCAGTAGAAAAAGATGTGGATCGTTGAGAGCAAGTTGGGAAAGCATTTTCCGCAGTAGAAACATGAGTATTTGTAGTGTTTTCACTACTATTATTTTCGCCCTCAGATTTGGAAAAATCACTTGATTTAGTTCGTTTACGATGATTTGGGCCATGCCATGAAAATGTGATAGTAACTTTCAAATTTTCTTTATTCCAGCTTATGACTTTCCAATAAAATACAGCAACCGGAAGACATGTTGTCTGATAGTCATGCGGTATAACGGGGGATATCTAGATAAACAAAATTTGTGAGAAAGAACTTATATTTACAATGTTGTCGAAAAAATAACGTATGGTAGGATATTCAATACAAATAAGTGCAACAAGTTAAAAATCACTGTGTATTATGGAGTATCAATTAGGTATGTAACGAGTTGTGAATAGAAATAACTAAAACGTTTGGGTTTCCTTCAGAAAATAAAATGGAAGAACCTGTTATTCAGACACACAATCAGTCCATGAACAGTTTTGTCATGCGTTAATCAAAAAAGATATTATCTGAGAAGTTTTCGCCTCATTTACATCAGAATTCAGGGGGAATGCAGCAACTCCATTACTAATTTGACTGTCTAGTTACAAAATGTTGGCTGAGGTACAATAAATTTATGTACATTTACTGTCTTCATGATGGTGAGTTTACGGTAGGTTAAATGAATACCATATGGGTGTTTTTTATTTTCATTTGCTTCACTTACTTCGATGTTTTTTCTTACAACTTATATTTTGAATAGGGTGTAAAACTGAAGGTAATAAATTTAACCTAAGTTACTCCATAATTAAAATCACATTCTTTAATACTATTGTCATTAATACATGACTTCGTTTCCTTTTGAAATGAGACTTTTTGATTCAAGTGGATTTCTACATTGTTACCAAATAAAAGTATTTCGCGTTAATTATAACAAAACAAATAAAAGCATTTTAATTGAGACCATGAACCGATCAATTTAAAACTACGATTGAAAACCTAGAAGCACTGGACGTCTGTCTCGACCTTGTAAAGAAATTCCTCAGCAGTGGGCATAAAAGACCCCACAAGCGCGACTCGAACCCAGAGCCTTCGAGCCCACGTGTGGACGCTTAAGCTCTAGACCACTGAGCTAGCATCCAAGTGTTAATGTCCAACCAATCCAACATGTCAACATGAAAGAACGTTTGTACATATTCTAAAAGTCATTTATTCGTGAAGCCAATATCACTTATATGTAGCTTTTTCTTTTGGTATTTTTAGAAATAGCAAAAATGTTAATTTTTTAACTAATTATAAGCGAAATTTTCAGTATTGGAAGATAGCCAAATTAAAACTTCTCTCAAAATCACTACTTATTACAATCACAAGAATATCTAAACTATATATCAATAAAACGAAATATTTATTAGACCGGTAATAAATTTATTTAGATATTTTATCTATCAACCGAAGACAATAACATTAAAATGTGACGTTTCAATTAATTTTTCGTACCTGTTGGCAAACTAATACAAGTTGAAGTTCAGGTATTTCATAAACTGTCCATGATCTAGGATATAAACCAAGGTAATGACCTTTTTCTGGATCAAAACCCCACTTCCACTTTTTTAATTTCTTGGCATTTGATGGAGGTTTCGTTAACGGTGACAGAACTTGGTGATAAACAGTAACACCATTTTTTCTGACTGTTACGATGAACTGTACACGAATAAAACAAAAAGAACGCAAATACAAATACTCATGAAGATTGAACTCTATGCACGAAAGTGAAAGATGTAGAAAAACCCAATCAAACATGAGAGTTACGTCACAACAAAAACAGTAACAAATTTCTCACAAGTGAAATTAGTTAAAATAATAATTTGAAAGTTATTTTCATCACTAGTTTGGACTATCTAGAGAACTATTAAAAATTACCGATCATCGAGACCTAAGTCAATAATACGAACTCGTGAGAAGCCATCACTCAGCTACATTACCTCACTGTGTTCATCTATCGTTTGGAATCCTGTTCCTTAATTTTGACAGTAGAAAATTTCGTTTAATCATATCACAAGAAACATCCCCAAAACATTTACACACCAAAATATTCTACTATTTATTTTAGTATTGCTTCTATTTTTGTGTCTGTTGTGAATTGCAGCGATGTGAAGCAAAAAGATAATTTACATTTACCCATCATCAAAAATACATGAGAACCATGAGAATTATTAATATAACAAAACAATTCTGGATATTCACTAATTCTTAGAAGGAACGATAACAAAAACATGTTTCTCTCAACTACGTCACTAAATACAGAAATGAATAACAGTCCTAACAACCGAAGATCCTTCGATAACAAGGAAAACGGTTTCTATGTACACTGGCTATTATTCCATTTTTTAACAAGATTCCATGATTCCGAAATTACATATATTAGTGTAGAACAACGGTAGATTGCACTTGTTTCTAATACATACCATTAAACTACTAGAAACAAAATTAAGAAAATCCTATGCATTTCATTTAAATTTCAATTAAAACATGTTATTAAAACCCACCTACAACTCCCACACAATTACGTTCGAAGTACAAAACAGTGAAACTAAGTATGATAACATTTTATGACATATTATCAAATGGTCTGTAGTGATTTTGTTAATGAAAATTCCTAATGCTAAAACTCCGACTAATAGGTAACAGAAACATAGTAGAAGACTAGTAAAAGATAGGAAGAGTGAGTTATTGTTTCGCAAATGATAAATATATATTTGAAAAAGTACAATAAACTGTTACCCAGACAGTAACGCTCAGTGAGAAGAAAGCGAAAATCCTCTGTCTTAACTTACTTGATCAACAGGTTGTACGTCGTAATTGTACATACCTGGTATCAGGCTTGAACGACAAAACTCCCCACGATATCCTCGCCCGATAGAACCACTACCAATGCCTCCAATCGGTACGCCATATATAGGTCTCCATGGCACGTGAGAAACAGCATCAATAAAGGGCAACCGGTGCTGAATAAAACGCTTCTTTATGTAAAACTGGAAAGCATATCTGAAAAATGAATGAGACTGAAATTAAAAATTACATATTTCCTGGATACTTATTTATTATTATTTTATTTAAACACATAAATATTGGCACAAACGGGTATCAGATACATATGCGCCTGACAAACCAAATGAGATTTGTGTGAGGGCTGTGATAGTGCCCGGCTGCCCAAACTGAAGCAGATGGTTTTCTTAGGGGGCCACAACCGGAGCCATTGACCTAAAAATCTGATCCACAAAGCAGTAGAGCATCGTGAGAAGATGCAGTCTCATGGTAGCCGATGACAAACAACAGGTTCATACGCCATTTGTTCCTTCATGATACTGGGGCCCATGTGCACCACTGGTTTGGAATCAGGGTTTTCCAACTTCCCTATGTGGACTTTCCGTGTCCACCAACCCGGTTAAAGCGCCGGGCATTCGCTTTTCGTCCTCTCAATTTCGTAAACAACACCACCTCCATGAGAAGGCATTGAGTAGGATTTCCATGGCAGAGGCTATATACGCGTGGCCATGTGAAAGTATTTCAAGAGGGAGAGCGGACTCTCTCCACTCTCGGCCATACCAGGATATTTGGGGGCGCTGATAAGTCACAATTCGTTTTCCCGTTAATAGATGTATTACGCTTACTTAAAACAAATCAATAAATGTCGGTTGCACATGTATGCAGCAAGTAAATTTGTTTAATATAGCAATGCGATGTCTTTAGAATATTGTAGATCATAAACAACAGATCACAATGACCTTAGATTTCCCCCAGATTGCCTTGCTAATAATGAAGACAAAGCATGCTTGAATGAAATATTATAAACAGTTTACAATAAAATTTGTGGTAACAACTGAAGTTTCACCGTAGAAAATGGATAAAATGATATATACAAGTCATGCAAAGGTTTTAAAAACGACCATCACAGCCCATGAGCCAAAAGTAATAAGACTAATTAAAGTTCCAAGTTGATTCAGATTTACAAATGTGACGAAGCTGGTATTAACAATGAAATACGTGGTTTGGGGATAAATGCTTATCGAGATTTCAGAACAAACAGTTGATCAGCTTAAAAGTTATCCGCTAATAATTTGGTAACTACGTAGATACTTATGACGATCCCTAGGCCTAACTAAAAGTTTACTGCAAAATTTGGTTTTTATAAAAACGACATATTCCCACTCGTTACATTTCGTACCACTTCTTCAGACATTAGTCAAGAATCTTGTTTTCACAGCTAAATTTGCTGCATACACAATAAATTTATAGATGAGCCGCTTTCAACAACTGTGTAAGAATGAATTTGGTGATAATAAGCTTAATTCTGAATGGAATGGTTACTTAAGCGTAACTAGAGTTCTGTAGTTTAGTTTTTGATGTGAACCAAATTCTATAGAAAGAAGGATATGGTTAACCAATAAAGCACCTAGATACCTCGTTATTCTATTTTTCAATTGTAAACAAAGACCATACATTAATAAAGGGATCGAAGTTCCGCACTCATTGATTTAACATTAAATGACTGACCCATGGTCCCCAAAGTTATTTTGGGTTATCGTGTATTCAATCACATCAGTAATTTCATCTAAAACTGATTTCCGACGGTTACGATTGCTCAAGGATAATTTCACACTTTTTTGACTAAATAGCCATGGCAAACGTTTAAAGCTACTTCATCTACTTATAACATGGGTCTCTAACTCATCTACCACGTACAATTTTCGTGTACTGGTACTACTAGCCAACCTGAACTAAAATTGGAGTTTAGTTCATACTTTCTACCTATCGGTTGGAGTTGGATTACTTTAATTGCCAAACCACAGATTCACCAGAATCACATTGGTTATCATTAAAAACGATAATCTATCAACAGAGCCACTACTGTTAAGATTCATGGAAATAGGGTCTTATAACTTAGCTTGGGGTATAAGGTAGAAATTTAGTAGTACTAAGACCCGTTTTAACATTTTACTGAGAACGAATTTTACCCTACATTTTCTACCTACAAAACCTTTACTAAAAACAGCACGCAATTTTGAAAAAGTGATATGTTTAATAACTAACCGAAGAGACATCCCCAAAATATCCCTCATTTGCGAAGTCCGTGGCACGGTAAAAGGACGGCATTTTATCTTACATTTATGATCAAAGCGAGCTTCCCATCCGTAGACAGGTACTATGCCAAGCTTTCTAATTACCTCCAAAACAGAAACTTGCTGTTCATCCATTGCTTTTAACTAGTTGCAAGTCAAGAGCGTATTGAAGCACTTGAAGTGAGGGGCTATCAGTAGATAAAATGCTCGACACTAAGCTAATTTTCCATGGCCAAATTTAGTTTCGGAGAAGGTAAGATCAGAACTGTGAATCTGAAATGTACCAAAACGTTGATTAAACAAACAACATTTGAAATGTACGTGTAGCACTAACAACTAGACTGGCAAATAAGCAAACGATCAAGTAGAAAGGATCAGCTCATGTTGGATTTATCTTATTTAAGGCAACAAGTAAAGCGGTGGATCATCTTGCATTTAATTCATGATTGAAATAATAACCCCAGTTGATACGGAAATCAATTGTCATTCCAGATGACTGGATGGGTCACTTTAAAGTAGAGCATATTAGTTTATAGTATATTTTTCGAAATATTCACGAGACAACCATCCTCAAGTAAAAACAATGAACACTTAACATTATAAAAATATTCATATAATATGTTAGTAACAAACCGAACGTTAGCATCCGCATCTTGATGTCAAGTCACATGATGCTTCATTGGGCAGTATGAAAATTTACCTTTATGAGTCCCTAAATACATTTAAGTGACCATGAGTGCCAACAACTAATTGGACAAGTTCTGTGGGTCTAACGATAAGGTAGTGTTTTTACAATTATTCTTCACAATGTAAGCAACAACACTCAAAACTGAAATTAATAGGCACAGTACTTGTCATTATAGATTCGTTCCTGCTAATCGGTCACAGATGTGACTCAAATACTTATAAACTCGGTTAAACTACATAGAACGTTTACTATGAAAAAGCACGTGAACAAAGTAGACATGATAAATAAAACAGAGCATTCAAAATATTCACTAAACAGTGAGACGTTTAGTACAGCAGCCCATGATCCGATTGATAATTTGAGAAAATGCTAACCTCAAGGTTACTTTAAAGTCGTCAAGGTCAAAGAGCTATTGATCTTGCTTCACTGAAACAAGCATCAATTACAAAAATCAAATTTTTACGACCCACCTACATTTTGTATGATTGAAGATTCGGATAGATTATCACGAATATATTCTTTAATCAATTAAATAGAGTTAGCAAGATAGCATGCTTCGGGTGGTTGAACCCAAGGTTAACATATTTTTAACAAGCTAGTATAAACCAGTTCATTTCCTCCCGCTGCCCTCTTGTTGTTTTGCAATGGTTCCATGCATTTAAAACTGTTGGATGGGTGACATTTCAACTTGCTGAATGTGTTAATTTTAGTAACTTTGGTGTTTATTTGTGGATTTGCATATCTTCGAGCTTGAGTGGTTGTGTAGGATTTCTAGGTACCACTCTAGAGGAAAATAAATCCACAAAATCAATAGCTCTGTATGTGTTCGACATTGAATTCTCACCACATTGGTTTTGATGGACTAGCCTAGCTGAAATCGCTCGGTCATGCAACCGCACTAGATCTCAAGTGAGAACGTCGTGCTCAACATCTCCTGCGATCACTAGCCAATTTAGATTAGTCACTTCTCTATATATCGATAATCTATCAAATATGTCTTCCAACCTCCTCGCTTCTGACTTTTTATTTCCCTATGTGAACACGATTCAACTGTAGGTGTTGCTGGTAAAGTGTTGTCAAACTACCAAATACCTGTAGCGCCTTCACCACCAACTACCAAGTTGTCTAACACAAAGTTTTTTTTGTTTTAATGCGAAACTAATACAGTGATGTTTGGAGTGCTAATAAAAGACAATTTGTTGGAGAATAACAAATGAGTTAACTAACCAGTAATGTGTAAGTAAGCAGAATTGAAAGAATTAGCGACATAGGAGGTAGTTACTGATAGTTGGCAACGAAAACTGTTGTAATTTTTATTATTATTATTGAGTATTATATTTTTGGTACAATATAGAATTTTCAGCACAAAATACTTCAACAAGTTTCCGTTCCTTACATCTTTGTCTTTCCTGACGATAAATATTGAGTGATTGCCAGTTAGAAACACGCATTAGACACACCTGGTCAGAAAGTGATATAGTAATCAATAAGCGGGTATATGTTTGTCAATTCTCCTCTTGAACAGATCTACTGATGTGACTATGGCCACTTCGGTTAAGAGAGGATTCCAAATGGTATCAGCTGTCGATGGGGCGAGTAAGAGCACACCTGAGTGTTTGCTCTTTGCTGTGCATACTTTTGAGGGTTGTTTCAGGTAGCATTGTGATTATTTTCTGGTTTTCGTGTTGCAGTGGCTTGGCATACCTAAGATGTTGTGTTCTATTATCGGATCACATTTTATTCTCCTGTAGCTTGGTGAGAAAATCTCAGGTTTCTAAGTTCGTCTTGGTAAGATTTTTAATTTGAGCTTGTCAGTCACTTGGTCTCACGCCCCTGTACTTGATCTAAGTGTTTTGCATCTCTTTGAAACAAACAGGACCGAACGACATTGCGGGCTTCAAGGTGGAATCGTGAGTGCGAAGACCAACTCAAAGGCGATTGCGTTTATTTGTCCTTGCGTGAAGTGCCTTGGCTTAATAACCTACGTAGTTTGAGCCAGTATCTAAGCCTAACGTGTTTACAGGCACGAGATCATACTCTGAGGTGACGAACAGGAGGGATTTTCCACAGAGGGTATAAGTGGTTCACCACACAGCATTTCGAAAGTTCAAGTTTTAATCCACAGCTTATTGTCTATTTTTTTAATAATGTACCACCCTTTAAAAGCTCATTTTAATCCTTTTCACGTTCTATGGATCTTCAGGTCATTACATCAGCTTCATAGATCAGTGTCACCGAGTTGTTAATAAAAACTAAGAACAGAATTGAAACCAAAATTGTAACTCGTGAGATCCTTGATGTTAGGACCTTCTAATCTATGTGAAATCTATCTGTTTTCGCTAAAAAAACATCAGGTAGTGTCATTGACAGGATAAAAGTGATCCTGTAAAACCCATCTTGTAGCCTTCTCTATGAGAAGTACATGAAGAACTATGTCAAGGGCTTTTTGAAGTTAAGAAATTTTACATGTAATGGTATCGTATGACCCAAACAGTTAGTTTAGCTTTTCTATGCTAAAAGTAGGTTGAACACGCGAAACCAGCATTTCCTGCACCTATGTTGGGTTTCACTTATGTATATCCATAGAATTGTGGTCTAAGTTCGTTATTAATAGTGCTATAATAATAGACTTAATTCTAAAATTTTATATTCGTCAAGATCTAACCATCTATTCGACAATATCATACGTGAAAGCTTCATCGTTGCTTACACTTTCTTGTTGTATTGTAGTAGCCAGTAATATAATGTTTGCCGTTTCCGAAGAACATATTTAAGCTGGTGATATAAAAATATAGTTCATGTGAATAAAAGATATAGGTTATGACCAATATCACCAAATATCATTTATATATTACCCGTCCTCCAATTACCTTCGGTAGTATAGGGACTGGCCCGTTCGGTCTGAAACGTGATGGGTCTTTTCTATTTCTGTACTGTCTTGTTATTGGAGTTCAGTTCGGCCTACGATAATGAGGAATAAGAAACAGGATCGACTGAGCTTCTCAAACACAATCGGTTCTCCTTGGAACTGACACTAGTTATTCATGCTCAACACGTTAAACCGCGACGGCCAAGACAGGATAAAGACGGAATTGCAGGTACCTTGATATTTGTTGCAGAACATTTGACTCAATCGGAGTTGGTATAAAATTGGTTACTGTAGTAGTAGTAGTAGTAGTAGTAGAATATGACCTTCGAGCATGTAGCAACTTGGCGAACTGAAAATCATGACAACCGATCAGTGGGTAAATGCCGTGCAGAAAATTAAATTGGTAGAAACTATGCAGGCGGTTATCGTTCCAGAAGAGTTCTTAACCCTTCTTACAAAATCTGACTATTCCTGCTACCGCCTTATAAATTTTCCATTTTGATGATTTAAGCGAGTGCCTTGTTTCCGTTCTCTTGGGAGTTGGCATGAATTTAATGGGTATTTACTGATGGATTCGTTATAATGTTTCGTGATTATAGGTGGTGTGTTATCACATCCGGGTGATTTTCCTGAGGTCAGGAATTTCAGTCCATTTAATACTAAACTGTCGTGATGTTACCTTTAAAACGTGATTCCTATGTCTTCAAACATAGGTTGTTAATCGATGTAGACTAATGCTTAATTAAGTTTCATTGAGCTACTTTACTATTGCTTTACTAATTCAAGCGTTCTTTCACTACTTTTTATGTGAGTTAAGAAGCCGTTCATCATGTGAAGTTCGCAGCCATCAAGCGCAGACTTGTTTGTCGTGGGCTGCAATGGTCGCGGTAGACTGAAAACGCTCATCATCATGGTGAAATGAAGTAGCATCTCTTATGACCAATTCTTCATCGTGTCTAACTTAGATTTGAGTGAATCACTTAACTGATGGTCTCTAGGATTTCAGTACAATCTCTCCTACAACGTGTGCTGAATCCAAGGCCACTTGTTAGAAGGGTTCACTTTTTCCTACCTTTCGGTCCTTTTTCAGGCGGCACGGCATGGCTGAAGTGACAATGTACAATTATGGTCTATTTTTGTATGAGTACATTTATCTTGGTTACCATTATAATGAGCAAACGTTTTCCTCTTACATAGAAATTCGTGAGAACAACATGGAGTTCACTATCATGCTAAACACAAAATCTATTTGTATTTTGAGTTTTAAAACACACAAATAACCAAAAGTTACGTTCGATGAATAAGCTTCATAATACAAAAACCTCTCAGGAAATGTGCTACCGATATTTAACATTAACACCCCTGATCATCACTGTAAATTAGATCGGATAACTGAACTGGAAGAACAGTAAATTTTGAAAACAAACACTTCCTGAGGTGTTTCAATTAACTCCATGGCAGTCTCTCGAGGAGAAGTATAATATTTCAACTTACTTAATTATGCCTGCTACTCCTCGTGGCGGAGCTTAGGCCTGATGTTGCAACGGATGTTCTAATTTTACAACTAGTTACCAGTAG